ATGTGATCGTGTTCATTTTCTGTTATCGCGCCTCATGTTCTGTAATCTAAGTGTATATTGTATTGCGTGCGGTTATATTATAGTTTGGCATGTTGTATTTTACTGACGGTATTCTACCAGACTGTGTTGTAATATCTCATATGATAGCATATCTTAGCACGTTCCCGTGAACAGTACTAGACTTCATATTGTTATTTTGTGATGCATAACATGCCTTTATGTGATGGTCAATCCTGTTCTGTTGTATGGCATGTATATACTTGCGTGTATGCATGTATACATACATATGCATGTACATCTACATTTGCATACACGTATACACGTACACACATGTACACATACATACACGCGCACATATGCATGCACATCCATACATATACATATACCCATACATCCACACATACATGCACACAAACAAATACATACCAATGTACGTACACGCGTACATGTACATACACACATGCATATACGTAGAGGCATACATATACATATACATATCCGTATACATATACATGTACACATCTACACATTTATACATACAACTACATCTACACGCTATACAAGCACACATGCATAGACAGTTGCATACACATTCCATATATATATATATATGCATTTACGTATGCATATACCTTTACATCCACACCACACAGCAAACTGCGTCCACACATATCTTTGCATGAATTTATACACATACTTAAACACAACATTATACATGTGTATGTACAGTGCATGCACGTACACGTTTACATAACCATTTGCATAACTTAGCCTGGCGAATGACCCAACCATATGCAGCTGTGAATACCGCAATTGTGAATATCATCCTCGCCCGCGATCCGTATGGGGCCACGAGCCGTGCGAGGGGCGTGTCGACGTGCGTGGCGGGGCACACAACGCGAGCGAAGACGATAGGTCTGTGTGCGAGAGACTGAGCGCGAGTGAGTCAGATTGTGGATGAGTCTGCGCGCGTGCGTGAGTCTACGTGCATAAATGTCGACGCCCATGTCGGCGCGCCTTTCACGAGGATCGCGCCCGCTTCCTTCCCGTCTTTCTTCTCCCTCTTTGCCCGTGCACGCTCACGTCCAAGGCTGCGGGCGCGGCGCCGCACGGAGTCCCCGCGACGCGCGCTGGTCGCCCCGAAGGGGTCCCGGCGACGCGCGCGGGTCGTTCGGTGCGCGGAGCAGAGAGAGCGAGCAGGCTGGCTCCCGCCCAGGATGCGCGGCCCGAGAGCGGCCTCAATACGTCGAATACGACGAAAAACTTCTGGAAATCGAAAGTCGCCGCCATGCGAACTCCGCCACTGGGCCGCCATGCGAGGTCCGCCACGGAGAGCTTAGATGGAGCTCCCTGTGGGGAACCGAAGCGCTGTACTTGGTGGTGGATGACGCATGCGGGCGGTCCCACTAGCGCTGTACTGGGTGGTGGATGACGCGTGCGGGCGGTCCCACTGGGGCTTTCGGTGGAGCTCCCTATGGGGTCACGAAGCGTTGTGCTGGGTGGTGGATGACGCATGCGGGCGATTCCACTGGAGCCTTCGGTGGAGCCCCCCATGGGGCCTCGAAGCGTTGTAATGGGTAGTGGATGCCGCATGCGGGCGGTCCCACTTGAGGTTTCGGTGGAGCCCTCTATGGGGCCACGAAGCGCTGTACTGGGTGGTGGATGCCGCATGCGGGCGGTCCCACTGGGGCTTTCGGTGGAGCTTTCTGTAGGGTCACGAAGCGCTGTACTGTGTGGTGGATGACGCATGCAGGCGGTCCCACTGGAGCCTTCGGTGGAGCTCCCTTCGGAGCCACGAAATGCTGTGCAGGGTGGTGGATGACGCATGCGGGCGGTCCCACTGGGGCCTTCGGTGGAGCTCCCTATGGGGCCACGAAGCGTTGTGTTGGGTGGTGGATGACGCATGCGGGCGGTCCCACTGGGGCCTTCGGTGGAGCCCCCCATGGGGCCACGAAGCGCTGTAATGGGTGGTGGATGCCGCATGCGGGCGGTCCCACTTGAGGTTTCGGTGGAGCGCTTTATGGGGCCACGAAATGTTTCGTCGGGTGGTGGATGACGCATGCGGGCGGTCCCACTGGGGCTTTCGGTGGAGCTCCCTATGGGGCCGCGAAGTGAGGAAGGAACGGGAGGAGGAGGAGGAGCAAGAGGAGGAGGGAGGAGGAAAAGGAAGGAATGAAGGAAGGAAGGAGGGAACGCGGGGACCGTCTTTTTCAAAACGGGGACCCAACACCATAGGATGGTTGGGCAACGTACGTAAGCATATACAATTGTATATATAGCTACATCGCCATAAACATATGCATTTGCATATGCATGTATATTTATACACATATTTGTACACTTACATGTACATGTGCATATGCACATTGATTTACGCATACACATACATACATGTACATGTACACATACATGTGCATCCACACATACATATATGTACACATATTTTTACTATACATATACACAATTTGTGGCCTTTTGTCCATGCCGCTACCGTGCTTGGGTTGCGGATCAGAGTTCTCAGGGATGCTTCCTCGGGGCGCTCTCGGGGGCCTCTTGGGAGCAGTTTTGAGGCCTCTTGGGGGCCTCTTGGTGACCTCTCTGGAGCCTCCTTGGGGCCTCGTGGGAGCAACTTGGGGCCTCTTGGGGGCTTTGGCCGAAGGCTCGAATTGTTTGTTCGGGGCCCCCATCTGGGCCTCCTCTTGGGGGCCGTCTTCGGGTCCTCTTGGGGTCGTCTTGGGCGAATGCGGGGCCGTCTTAGGACCCTCTTGGGCTGTCTTGGGGCTCCAAAGGGCTACGCCCTCGAAGACTCGTCCTTTGGCGGAGATCTAGGGTGCGCGCGGTTGCGGTCCTCAAGCAGAGGATTGCCAAAGCCAATGGTCCGCGCGTCCAACATTAGACGCGTCGTCGATGTAGATCGTAGAGCTGAAGGGCCGGTGTCGAGAAGGGGATCGTTTGGCCCAGAATTCGTTTCCGCGCCGAAGCCATGGGGAACATATGCAGAAGAGTCAGTGGTAGCGCAGAGAGTTATACTTATGCTTCGTAGATTCGACGGGCAATCAATTTTTGGGTAACTCAATTTTTTTTTTTGGGGGGGGGTATATCGATTTTGTAGTCGATCCCCTACTCGATGGGTAGGAGTGGATGGGATCCCCAAAGGCCCTGTCGGGCTGTGACGTCCGGGGGGTCAGCCCGTCCCTGGCCCTGCACGCGGAGGCTGCCACGGCGGGCGCGGTGGGGGAGGCATCCGGGAGGCTGTGCGATGGCCGTCTTGTTCGGTAGCAGGTCATGGGCGCCTGGTGCAGCGGAGGCCCATGCCAAGGAACACCCTGCTCGCCTCCAGGGTGCCCTGGGCCTCTTGGGCTCCGAAGGTCTTGCGATGGAAAGCGGGACGTTCCCACACCAGACATCGATAGACGTCCTGGGGTCTCAGGGTTGTGTTTCTTGTGGAAGGTTTCTTGCGGACTGGCCTCCACTGTATGTCCTTTTAATTCCGTCTCAAGCGTCGACTAGCGCTGAGAAGCGTCTGGGAGTCGACGGGATAGCGCCGATTTAGCGTCGGTTAGCGTCGATCCAGCGGCGATTAGCGTCGATTTAGTTAGTGTCGATTAGCGTCGAGTCGCAAGAGCCGACAAGATGGTGTGGGAGGCTCCCATGAGTTGCCACCACGCGCGACCCTATGCTCCTCACCCGCCTCAGAATCCTGAAGGAGTGTGTGGCCCTCTTGCCTTCTCTCCGCCAAGCCCATGGGCACGGGCTCCAGGCAGCTTTGGGCCGATCCCGGGGTAGACTTGAGGAGGTGGACGCTCGCTGGAAGCGGGTCAATGGCTTCATGGGGGCTTCTGATTCATGTGATGTAGACGGAGAGGTATTTCATCTGCTGCAGTGTGACCAACAGAGTCTTTCTGGTTTGCTCTAGCTGCCACCCATGACAAGGCGGTCTGGAAGAGCGCCAGTTAAAACTATCATTGCAGTAGCCTCGTTGAAGGAACAGACGTATACGTGCTTCGCAGGAAGCTCAACAAGCCCAGGAACTGTGGGAACCACGACCAGGTATGGGAAACATGTTTATTGCAAAGGGGCCCCTTGACCCGCCTCCAAGCGTTTCGGGGCTGAGGCCAGGCTTGAGCAGACAGGCGTTTCCTGGACAGCGCCTGTCTGCTCAAGGCGTAGAGCACCTGAAGCGCCTGGAGCTAGACGATGCTCTGGCCCGGAGGGTGCGACATTTCACGCTGGCAGGTCAACAGACTTGCGGACAAGGCAGCAGTGGAAGGGGCCAGGATGGCCCAGATCCCATTCGAAGATTGCGAGGAGGTCGCTGAGATGGACTCGTTGCCGGCTGTTTCTTTCGCCCTGGTCCAGCAGGCCTCGTGTTTGAATTGTTTTTGCAGCAGACTCAGCACGAGTTGAGAAGGTCCAGAATGGACAATGGCGGTCCAAGGCTTGATTTGTGACGTTCCAGCTCCTTGCAGGGCTGGTTTTACGAAAGTGGTCGCGCATGTGGTCGCCCATGTGGTCGCCAACATGGTCGCCAAAAACCAAAATGGTAACCCATGTGATTGCTCAAATGGTCGCCAAAAACCAAAATGGTAACTCATATGGTCGCCCAAATGGTCGCCACGAAATCGGTTATCATCTGATGTGGTCGACCACGTGCTAATTCAACATCTGGGAAAATCCCAGGCGTGTCGTAGCCTGCCGCATGCGCGTTGCGTCAGCATTGCGTCGCGTTGTCGCGGCGCGCTCGTAGGTATACAAGACCTTAGCCTCGGAGGTGTCTCAACCGCGCCTTTGCGATGCTCGCGAGCGTGACAGGCAACGACCAAACAACGCACGAATACGTCGCAAGTAAACATCAGCTAGGCACCCAGTGAGCTTCCACATTATTCCAATGCCGAACACGTTTGAACCATACCCGAGCAAAAGCCTTGCTTCTTTCTACGCCCTCCCTCCGCCTACCTTCCACCTCCTACCTTCTACATCCTACCGCATACCTCTTACCTCCTACCTCCTACCTCCATACCTTACAGCGATACTTATCTAATTCAACAGTGGTTCCAACACGCCGTAGATGCGCGTCCAATGCGTCGGGGCTGTCTTCTGGGCTTTCTGGGGGGGTGCACGAATTTGCCGCCGCCTGCCACTCCAGAATCGATGCGCACATGGTGTGCCCACATACGTTGTAGATCTCGTCGCGATCCCCCCCGTGGTGTCAAGGGTTGCTGTCTGGCGCAATCAAATGCGCAGCATATGCGGTGCCGTGCCGCCCCCTGGTCTGTCATGGTGTTGCATAGCATAGCATGGGGCGCGATTGGGCATATTGCAGCAGAGCGCATTACGTTGCATGGCATTGCATAGCATCGCATTCATATATATATATATATATATATATATATATTTATGTAGATATATATATATGTATATATATTGCGTTGCGCTGCCTGACAGTTCGCAGCGCCACAGGCATCGCATTGCATTGCATTGCATTGCATTGCATTGCATTGCATTGCATTGCATTGCATTGCATTGCATTGCATTGCATTGCATTGCATTGCATTGCATTGCATATCGTGGGCAAACATGGCGATTGCCGTTTGCTTCTTCAGTCAACGTGTGTGGGCCTCATTCGTATGCATTTGTTCTCAATGACGTTTCTCGCCATTCCGATACTGCACCATTTCTCTTCGAGTCATGTCTCAGAGCGACCTGCCTAGAGAATCCAGGCGCGATGGCGCCAAGATCCCGCTCGTCACAAGAAACCTTCGCGAACTGCCTCCAGGGTTCTCGAACGAGCAGGTCTTGCACATTCCCGTGTTGATTCGTCAGAGGTCCAGGGCGCCCGACGCGGGCGAAGAGCGGAGGCAGTTCCTCAAGAGGCTCCGAGTGGACAACGCAGACGTCGATGAACCTCTTACAGCGATGCCGAAGGTGTCCGCACGACAGCACGACGACGACATCAAGCACCCCACCAAATCTCCAGAAGAGGTCCCGTCATCGCAGGAACCCTCGCAGAAGGCGCAAGGACTGCGGTTAGGCTGTGAGTGAGACGCCAAAGTTGTCATCCCCTTCGGTCGGGTTGACCGTGCCAACAGTTTTCTCGAAGGCCCATTGGGACACAGCGTTTGCGCCCGCTGCTGCGTCTTCTGCTTTTACGGTCGTGGAACAGTCCACAACGCCCGAGGTTTGCACCTGTCGGGGCCAGCGCGCGCGCGGAAGCCTTTGCCGGAGACGCTGCCGCCAGTCGATGAGCCCCGCGACCAGGGCATGGTTGCAGGCGCAGCGCCATCTTCCCAGCTTCTGTTCTGCGACGTCTTGGTCCAGCTCGGTGCGCCAATGCCTTTCGACGGTGCGCTCGATGTGCCCGATTCGCTTCCTCGTTAAGTTTGCGTTGCGCGTCCACGGAAAAGGTGCGCATTCTGACGTTTGAGCATTATTGCTCGTTTTGAAAAAGCATGCCAGATGCGTTGTTGGGGGAAGGAGGGCAACGCTTCGACCCGAACACTACGCCCGTTTAGCAGCGATCCCAAACAATCCCAGAACACGTTCGGGCTTCGTCTCAATCGCCCCCCATCGAAAAGTGCATCGCGTACGCATGGTGGGTCCGCAGATACCCAGTGTGGCCCGAAGAGGCCCAGTGTAGCCCCAAGAGGCCCCAAGAGGCCCCCAAGAGGACGTATGTGACACACGTCGCTTGATATGTCTCTCAGTTCTCATGTATGTTATGCTGTATGTGTTGTCATTCTTTGCTCTTCGCGTCGCCCCGCACGTGTCAGCTTTTCCAGAGACAATGCCAATGCGGTAAGCCGTCATGTGTATGGAACACAACCCTTACGAGGCCAAGTGGGCTTGTCAGTGTGTCTGGGGCGGAGCTCTTGGGTGCAGAGTGTCGTGCCGCGCCGTGCCAGTCGCATCGCATTGCGTATGTGCTGAATTGCATAGCAGGGCATCGCACAAGCATAGCGTTACAAACGGCAGCGAGCATGGCGCGCCATTGCATGCGCTGGATTGCAGTGTGTGGCCATGCATGGTTCCACCCGCGCGTCGAGAATCTCGTGGGCTACAGTCGTTGGGCTTGCATTGGTGCCATTCCCGTGGTTGCCATGGGCGCCCATGGCCACTTTTGTTCAAACCTTGCAGGCCTTTCCTCTCGACGCCCGCGAGGCGAATGCACTTCGACGACCAGAGTTTCCATGGGCGAGTGGGGCGAAGCAGTCCTGGACGCGGAAGCTGCAGCAGATGCTGCTCATCTGGATGCAGCGATGCTCGGGTGGGCTGATGCAGCCGGCGTCTTCGCGGGCGCGGCGGACGCGCTGGGCGAGGGGGGCGCAGCCGCTGCCGAGGTCCACGCCGAGAGCGGCCACGGTCCAACGGATCTGGGCGATGATGGCGCTGCTCTTGTGCCGCGCGACGGGGTGCTGCATGATTCTGGGGCGGGCTTTCGGGCATCTGCTGCGACCGTCCGTGGCACCGCGGACGCCGTCAACTACGCTGGACGTGCTCAGGACACGTTGCAAGATGCAGCTCGTCAGGATGAGCGCGTGGCTCGCCCAGAGGAGGTAGGGGGGTCGTCGTCGCACTACTGGAATGCGACGGCCATGGCGATTGTCATTTCAAGCGGTTGATAAAGACATGGCAGGGCGCTCTCCGAAGTGCGCGGCAGCGACGTAGTTGGCATTGTCATGCGGTTGTCCAGAGGGGGCGCTCCGAGCAGTTGATCCAACGGTTGATCTCGTCTGCTTTCGGCGAGGGCTTCGAGCCGGCTGTTTCCTTTGAGAGGCGTCGCGGCGACGAGACTCCATTCGCCGAGGTCCGAGTCCAAGCTAGCGTCGGGGGCGCGCGGGTGCACGTGGTAGACCAGGGCGAGCATCTCGGCGATCAGGGCCCAGGTGCTGAGCTTGCCGTGCGCCCTCGGCCAGATGTGGCGATGGCGGAGTGCGCAGTGAATGCGAAGGTCTACCAGAGTGAATTGGCATGCGGCGCGCTCTTCACTTCTATAAGTGGAGACGCGCTGCTAGCATCGTTTGAATTGGTGCAGCCCTTGGCCACTTTGGACAGGGGCACGGCTGAGTGCTACGCAGAGCCCTATCAACAATAGTATTGAGTTCATATTGAGACTCATCGTATGCAGAATATTTTAAAAAACGATTGCCAACAATACTAGCATGTCTTATAACATCAACGCTAAGCTGACTATCGGGAAACGTTACTACTATTAATACGAGTACGATGCGTAGTCGTAGTAGTACGCATCTCAAGAATACGAATACTAGGAATACGAATGCCACGAGCAACGACCACATTCGTAACACCAGTAATTACGATGATACTATGAGCGATAATAGCGATGATGCAAATGCTAGTCCTACTAAGAATAAGTAGAACAATAATTATTAGACTACTGGTAATACGAATAGCAAGCATGATAGTAATAATACCAAGACGACCAATAATCATACTACTCACAATCAGATTAATACCACGAATAATTTATCGAAAACGTGTGGATTAATAACAAGTCAATTCTCCTTTCTAAAAAGAGAATAGACTCTCCCCCCCCCCCGGCGTTATCCGCCCCCCGCTCGGGCACGTAAATCATATATGATTCTGACCACATGTCCATCTTAGATATTAATTTACACTATCCCAGGGGGCCGGTATTCGTTCCCCTGAGGTTCCCTGGTACAAAAAACAATACGCGGGGACATTTATGAGACATTTTGTGAATCCCTTGCAAAAAAATGAGACGAAGTGCGCGCGCGCGTCGTCGCGCGCGCATGCCGAAATCCTTCAACAACTTTCGGTGTCGGAAGGATCTCGCAATCGAGTTTCCAAGAAGCATGCAGAACCACTCGGTTTCGCAACGCTGATTTGCAAAAAGAGCTTACGCGCGAGCTCTTGCGAAACTTGAAGAAAACCACAGGTTTTTCAAGCTTTTCACGACATGCTACCAAACGGCTTCGCGCGCGCATGTCGAAATCAGTCGAACGCCATTGCGCGTATGCCGTCGCGAGAACCCTTTGCAAAAAATGAGACGAAGTGCGGACGCGCGCGTCGTCGCGCGCGTATGCCGAAATCCTTCAAAACCCATCCGTTTCGGAAGGATCTCAACATCGTGTGTCAAAAAATGCAAAAAACACGGTTTTGCAACACGGATTTTCAACAAAAGCGTGCGCGCGCGCTGTTGCGTCGTCGTCGTCGTCGTCGTCGTCGTCGCCGTCCTCCCTCCTCCCGCGTAGTCGTCGTCGTCGTCGCCTAAGTCGTCCTCTGTCTTTCCTCGTGTTCGTCGTCGTCGTCCTCTTTGGCGTCGTGGTCGTTTCCGTCGTCGTTGTCGCCGTGGTCGTCCTTCCTCCTCCTCCCTCGTCGTCGTCGTCGTCCGTCGTCGGCGTCTCGTTGTCGTCCCTCCTGTTTCGTCTCCGTCGTCGTCGTCCTCGTCGTCGTCGTGGTCGTCGTCGTCGTCGTCGTCGTCGTCGTCGTCGTCGTCGTCGTCTTCTCTCCTCCCTCGTCGTTGTCGTCGTCGGCGTCGCCGTCCTTCCTCCTTCTTCGTCGTTCGCGTGGTCGCCGTCCCCCCTCCTCCCTCGTCGTTGTCGTCGTCGTCGTCGTCGTTGTCGCCGTCGTCGTCCTCCCTCCTCCCTCGTCGCCGTCTTCGTTGGCGACGTCGTCGTCGTCGTCTTCGTCGTCGTCGTTGGCCTCGGCGTCGTTGACGTCGGCGTCGTCGTCGCCGTCGTCGTCGTCGTCGTCGTCGTCGTCGTCGTCGGCGTCGTTGACGTCGTCGTCGTCGTCGTCGTCGTCGTCGGTGTCGTCGTTGTCGTCGTCGTCGGCGTCGTCATCGTCGTCGTCGTTGTCATCGTCGTCGTCGTCGTCGTTGGCGTCGGCGTCGTCGTCGTCGTCGTCGGTGTCGTCGTCGTCGTCGTCGTCGTTGTCGGCGTCGTCGAAGTCGTTGGAGACGACGTCGGTGTCGTCGGTGTCGTCGTTGTCGGCGGCGTCGTCGTGGTCGTTGTCGCTGTCGTCGTCGGCGTCGCTGTTGTTGCCAAGTGCCATTTGGTACCCACCGTCAAAGTCTTAAGAGATTTTACAAACAAAGTTGCGGGTGGGTGGGTGGGTGGGATGTTTGCGCGAGCAGTGGAGTTGACAATTCAATGCGAAAAGAAATTCATACCACCCATATTATTTATATGAATAATATCACTAATGATGTGGGTGCCACTGCAACACAAACAAGACGACGAATATTACGAAACAGAAGAACACTTCTACTAATAATTAAAACATAATCCGAATAGTAAGCGTCACAAGAGTAATACGCATAAGAGGAAGCATGTCAGTAATAATAAGACTTCGCAGGCTACCTATGAATAGTATTACAATTATTACTAACCATAATAGGACACAAGAACAATTCAAAACTAATACAGATAATGATGGTACGAGTAGTGACATATGAGCCAAAAGAAGACACATACTAATAATACTAAGAAGGATAATGTTAATACTGCGACTAGTAATATGGTTTAACCATTCTTATTTTTCCAATTCGTACTAATAATATTAAGAGGAGGATGATGATGAGGAGGAAGAGCAGGAGGAGGAGGAGGAGGAGGAAGAGGAGGAGGAGGAGGAGGAGGATGAGGAGGATGAGGAGCTCTTGGACCCCGCTTGGGGCTCTCTGGGGGCCCTTCAGGGCCGCTCTTGGGCGCCTGGGCCGTCGTGCGGCCGCCTCGGGGCCTTTTGCGGGGCGCCTTTGGGCGGTCTTGAGGCGATCTTGGAGGCCTCTTGGGCCGTCTTGCACACCGTTGTGGCAAGATAGGCGAATGTGCTGAACATCAACATCATCCCAATGGGCTGGGGTGATTTTTGCTTCTCGGGGGCCTCCAGGGGGTCTTCTTGGAGCCCTCCTGTTGCGTCTTGGCAGCCTCTTGAGCAGGCTTGGGGCACACACGCACACATGTCCCCCTCCCCTCCCCTCCCCTCTCTGCCCCTGTCCCCTCCTCCGCCGCCCTATTCCAATCCGCATCTCCCCTTCCCCTTACCTCTCGGCCTCGTCCTCGCCGCTCCTCCCACCACACTCGTCTTTCGTTCTTCCCGCCCGCACCACCCTCTCCCTCTCCTGCTTCTCCCCTTTTCTCTCTCTCTCCCTCCTCCTCCTCCTCCTCCTCCTCCTCCTCCTCCTCCTCCTCGTCCTCCCCCTCCTCCTCCTCCCCCTCCTCCCCCTCCTCTGCTCCCCCTGTGCTCCCCTCCTCTGCTTCTCCTACCCACTCTCCCTTTCCTCACCACGCCGCTATAGTTTTCGATCGGGAAACTGATCCGCGGCTGGCAGGTCAGGGCCTCGGCCCCGGCCGGCCCGGCAGGCCGCGCCCAAGGAAGTTCGTTCGCAGCCCCGACCCCGGCTCCAAGCATCGGGAGGGGTGGGGTGTGTGGTGGGGGGCGAGAAAGAGGGAGGGAGGAGGCAGGCGGCGAGGATGTGTGGGGCCGTTCAAAGTGAGCTCGGGCAAGGGCGAGAGAT